CCTTGCACTTGCCAGGCAAGTGCTTATTCTACTGAGCTATCTCCCTGGCCCCTTTTTTTCTTCTGTGCCATAGGTTTGCTAATAATGTCAAATGTCATCAATAAGTGTGGCTTAACCATGTCTGTCACTCAGGGTTCAAAAGCATTTTGCTTATCAGGATAAGATAGTTCCTTTCAGGGCCAGGGAGACAGCCCAGTAGAACAAGTGATTGCCTGGCAAGCACAGGGGCCTGAGTTCAATTCCTGGTACCACAAAAAAAAAGGTAATTCCTTTCATTAACCACTTTTAAGCTAACATTTCTTATCATTTCAGGTTGAATTCTCTTATCCACCCCTGATTCCAGGAGATGGACATGATAGCCACGTTTTACCTGAAGAATGGAAGTATCTGCCCTTCCTTGCCTTACCAGATGGCGCACACAACTATCAGGAAGGTATGTGATGAAATGGGGGAACAATTACTAGGTACCATTTTTTAAAGATCTGGTGGTGGGGGACAGCCAAGGGGGAAGGATAGGGAGAAGAAAGTAAGAAGGATCAATATGTGATATGTATACATACTGATTTCCCACAATAAATGGATTTATTATGTGTCACAAACATACACCAATAAAAATAAAAACAATGGGCTACTGGACTCTTTTAGAATATTTTGCTGAGTTTACACACCTATAATATTCAATAACGGAACTTAGAAAAAATGGAGTATACAGATGAATGTCCATTTTGTATCTGTGTATTCAAAGTGGTTAGGATAGCTATATAGTTGCATTCTCTTAATGAATAGAATGATTTGTTCTAATGGTGTTTGTAAATAGGATCTCAAGTCCGCATTTTGTACAGCAATTAACCACTAAGAAGAATATATGCAGTGTGTTATTTGTTGAATCTGTATTTCCGATTTGATTTGAAACTGTCTCATTGCTATCTGTTTATCAATAAAATTTTGAAAAAAAATTAAAAAAAAATAAAAACAGGCTAAAGATTCTAAATTCACTGGTAAAAGAAATGTCTTTGGTTATTGTAACTATTAAAATATTGATGTGATAGTCAGATGTGGCATATGCCTATAATGTCAGCTTTTTGAAAGGATAAAGCAGGAGGACTACAAGTTCAAGACCAGTCTTAACAACTTAACAAAACTATGTCTGAAAATATAAAAAGCAGGTGCTCGGGATGTAGCTCAGTGCTCCCTGGATTCAAACCCCTATGCCACCTACACCAAAAAAAAAAAAAAAAAAAAAAAATACTGTTCAGAGAGGACTGAACATTGACTGCAGCTTGCTATCCTTAGCTACCTCTGAGAGCAGCCCTAGCTAAGTAAGTCCAGAGCATGATGGCTGCTGCTGGGAGCACTCCTTCCAGTTGTACTGTCAGTTCCTCTCAAAAGCAGAAAGCAAAGGTTCCTTGTACAAGCTATATACTGCTTGAATGCTAGTCTAGGCTTGCTGGGCTTAGTTATCCCAGTGCCTACATGGGAACAGCTGTGGTTGTTTCTCCACCTCTGAAATTAATGTCATTAGTGCTCTGCTTACAAGAGTGAGTAACTCAGAGAAAACAGTGCTATGAAGTTCTTATTGAGCCTTCCTCTGACTCATAAATGAGTACCTTGCTAGACTTCATGAAGGATACGAGGCTCTACCAGGTTAAAGTTCGCTTGATAACCTGTTTTCCTAATGTCATATTAAATAATTTTTTCATGAAATCAGACTGTTTCTATGCAGTTTAAATGTAGTGTTTATAATTTCAGAAATCTTTTTTCTCCTTTTTTATTACAAAGTTTTTAAAAATTCTGAAAAGTTGAATTAAATATAGTAAATTCTTATACTTATCTCTCATCACTGAGAGATAATACCTGGCAGCCACAGTTTAAAGATGGGAAAGTTTATTTTGGCTCACAGTTTGTAGAGGTTTCAGTCCAATTCAGCTAGTTCCAAGGCAGGGCTGCATAGCAGAGGGGCAGTGCTAAGGACAAACAGGTCATGGCCTGGCAGGAAGCAGAGAGAAGTCAAGAAAAGAGGAAAGGAGATGTCCTTCCAGGCCATGCCCCCAGTGAACCCCTGCCACTGACCAGACTTCACCTCCCAACATCACATTTAGCTGTAAACGCACCTGTGATAATCCACTAGTATCATGCCTCCTTGATCCAGTCACCTCCCAAAAGCCCCACCTATGAGCAAAGGAGACTTTGGGGGTCATCTAGATACCATCTATAACATGAAGAGTCTACAGACCTTCTTTATGGATATAGTTTTTATCTGTACTGTTTTAAAGTTAGTTGGAAACAGTGAAGCACTTCAGCTCTAAATACATGATCTCGTAAGACTAAGATCATTATTATAGCTAAGAGATTTGACATCAGTTCCGTAATACCATCTAACAGACAATCTGTTTCCCCATTTGTCCCCCAAAATTTCTAGGATCCATTCAAGATTCACATATTGCCATTAGTTTTTGACACTACTTTCTATTAATCTGAACAGTCCTCTGTACATGTTTCCTGTAATTAAGCCTCAGTTTATCCTGTTATAATTCAGCCTCTTGGACTACAAGGAGTTCAGAGAAATTCTTAAAAATCAGTGGTTGTGATGCTGAACATAAGTATGGCATGGGTTCCTTGATATGCCATCATTTTTGTATTAATGATTGAAGTATAACTTAAAGTTTCATTATTAATAAGGGTGATTTCCCTCAGTATTTATATTTTCCTGTGTATCTTTTAGATACTGTATTTTTTCACTTGCCACCCAGAAATGGAATTGGAGACACAGTATATGGTATCTCTTGCTACCGACAAATTGAAGCCAAGGTATGATAGTTAATGAGCAACAATAGAAAAACTATAAAATCCTTTCTTAGGTGTTGGTCACTTAGGGAAATGTATAGTTCATATTTTTCATGTGGCACTTGTGATGTTTTTTATTTTTATAAATAATTTGTAATTGCTACTCCTATAGTACTGATTTATTCATGCTAATATTTTTATAAATCGAGATGGGCATCTATGAATATATAGGGTATATTTTGTACATTTAAAAATTTTAATCTTTTATTTATTTATTTGGTACAGGGTCTCGCTACACAGCTCAGACTCGTACTGATCCTCCTATCTCAGCTTCCCCAGTGCTGGGATTACAGGCGTGCACCACCATGCCCAGTTTCAGTGGCCAGTTCAACCTGGGGCCAGCATGGCATGCAGTACTGGGGACTGAACCCAGGTCCTTGTGTTTGCCAGGCAGGTGCTTAGACCAATGAGCTATTTGCCCGGCCCAGTGTACATTGTTTTTAGATAGTGTTTTCCACATTATCCATTTGTCTTTGAAGTACTACATTAAAGTTTCATATTGCCTTCTACTTTTCTGTTTCTAGTGTTTGATACTTATGTTTGTTAGCTTTCCTTCATGTGACAAAATACCTGAAATAATCAGCTTATGGAATGAGAAAAGGTTTATCTTGGCTTAGTGATTTCCATGGTTTCAGCTCATAATTACTTGCTTTAGACTTGGGGTCTGGGAGTGCATCAGAACTGGGGTGTATAACAGAGGAGGCTAGGAAGCAAAGAGAGAAGGGGTTGGGATCCCAGGATATCCTGGAAGGGTAGCCCCAGTGACCTAACTTCATCCAGTGAGGCTCCATCTTTGAAAGTTCTACCACCTCCCAATAGCACACAGACTTGGGATCAAGCCTGTTACACGTAAGCTTCTGGGGATACCTGTCCAAACCATAGCATTCCTGATTCTAGTGAACGTTAGTGTTTATTTAAACAAAAGAAAACAGTTGACAAATTGGATGGCTCCTGGAACCACAGCAGCTTTTGAGAACTGCCAAGATCCTGACAAGATAGCATTTTTAGAAACCAGAAATGAGATAGAGAACCCAGCCTACTTGGCCACAGCCTAGCCATTCAACCAATTGATTAGTTCCAATTTACTCTTAGCTACTTGGTTGTGGGGCTTCCTTCAGCATCCAAAGCTCAGTTACTGTGATTACTTTGTGTTTGACTGCTCTGTTGGTCCCAAGCCTTATTAGTGGGAGATCAATGATGCTCTAAAGTAGTGAGTGATTTTCAGCCTTTAGCTCCAAATGAGAGTCAGTGAGGAGCTTTGAGAGCTAGGATGACCAGGCCACTGACTTAATTCTGTGCGCCAGGGGGTTCTACTGCATAATCAAAATTGAAAACCACAGCTCTAGAACAACAGTAGCTTTTAACAAGAATTAACTGGGGCTTTTTGTTTTTATTTTTTAAATTTTATTTATGTGTGTGTGTGTGTGTGTGTGTGGCCAGCTCAGCCCACCAGGGGGCGGGCTGGCTGGCATGTGGTGCTGGGGGATTGAACCGCGGTCCCTGTGCTTTGCTAAGCTTGTTCTAAGTAGGTGCTTTAGACCACTGAGCCATCTCACCAGCCCGTTCTTCTTTTTCTTCAAATACATGTTCCTGCTACTAACTGAATTAGTATCTCTAAAACTAGAGCATGGGCAATCATTAGGTTCAGAAGCTTCCTGAGGTAGACAATTAACTTAGTAGATTTCTTCTGTCTTTATATTGAAAGTTTGAAACATGCGGGTGTATCACAAGAATCGTACAAGCGCATGCTCATCATGGAGAATCAGCAGTTCTTAATGTTCTATCACATGTACTCTGTGTGTGAGGTTTTTTTTCTCTAAATGTTTTGTGAGCGAATTACAAGTGCAAATTCCAGGATACCCAAAATCAGTTAATGTCTGTATAATGAGTAAAAATCTAAAAGTAAAGATACTGTTCTCATTATCACATACAGTTTGTCAGTTTTGCGTCAGTAAAGCAGAAAATATAAAAGAAACCTAAAGCTAAAAGAAACCTGAGATTAAGTTGGCCTAATAACTTTGTGCACTGATCCCTTCACATACTGTTATCTTAATATGTGAAATAAATTGAATGCTGCCCTTTCTTAGAAATCAGCTCCTAGGGGCTGGTGAGATGGCTCAGTGGTCTAAAGCACCTACTTAGAACAAGCTTAGCAAAGCACAGGGACCGCGGTTCAATCCCCCAGCACCACATTCCAGCCAGCCCTGCCCCCAGGCAGACTGAGCTGGACACACACACACACACACACACACACACACACAAATAAATAAAAATAAATAAATTTTTTTTTAAAAAGAAAGAAATCAGCTCCTCCACTTCCTCTTATGCTTCATAGATAACATAAGTAATAGTAAAAGTATTTCTTCCATATATTTCTTTCCCTCACAGCTGTTATCTTTAACAACAATTCTCATGCCCTGCATCTCTTTCATGTATTGTCTCTTAACACCTCAGCTTGATCCACTATACAGTACATGAGAGTTGCCCACTACTTCATGTTTTTTAGCTACATCTGAGAAATTGAACAAATATACCAGACATGAAAAAGACCTAAGAGAAAATTCTTAATTCTCTGTGAATGAAGGTAGGACATAATGGGTGAATCCACTTAAAAGCAAAGTCTACTCTTGACCTAGTTTAATGACCAATTTAAGACTAGTCTCCTTGGTCCTCTGGACAAATCAAATGTGAGGAAAAACTGTTTTTGCTTCACTCAAAACTTTATCTGAAGTGGACCAAATCAAGGTTTGTAGAGATCTGCAGAAATGTCACATAGCGTCTCAGTTACTTTTGTTGCTGAGAGATAATACCTGACACAGGTAAAGGAGGAACTGTGTATTTCAGCACACAGTTTATAGGTTTCTTTCTTTTTCTTTTCTTTTTTTTTTTTTTGGTGGAACCGGGGATTGAACTCAGACCCTTGCGCTTGCCAGGCAAGTGCTTATTCTACTGAGCTATCTCCCCGGCCCAGGATTTATAAATTTCATTCCATAGTTGGGTCTAAGGCAGGGTGGAATGGTATGGGGACATCACAGAGGAGAAACAGTTCATAGCAGGGCAGGCAGGAGTCAGCAATAGCGAGCAGCCTGCCATCTTTTCTGTCATTTTTATCCTATTCTGGCTATAAGCCTTTTGGGTCATACAACCCACACCCAGGGTGGGTCTTCCTGTTATTTACATTCAGAACTCTGCTAAACCAATCAGTGTACTAATTTTTGTACCACAAACCCTTAATCCTAGTATCATACACCCTTAATCCACATTCACACACCTTGGACCCATCTACCTCTTAAAAGCCCCAGTTACAAGTTCATAAGGCTTTGGCGGTGGGGGGGGGGGCACCTAGATACAAGCCATAACACAAACCACTCCACAGTCACTGAGAAATAAGTTATGAATGCAGCATTGGCCTGTTACACAAGTCTGCTAGGATGTCCTCCAGCCTTGTGTAGCTTGACTAATTTAGAACTATGACAGGTCTTCCATTCTGGAGAAACAACCTGTCTGTTCTTGTCATCTCTTAAACTAGCCCTTCTTGGCCGGGGAGATAGCTCAGTGGAATAAGTGCTTCCCTGGCAAGCATAAGGGCCTGAGTTCAATCCCCGGTTCTGCCAAAAAGAAACCAACAACAACGAGCCCTTCTTACCAGCGACATTGATCTGTGAACAGTTCACCTCTTCTGAAGCCACAATCATCAGTGATTGGTTTACACTGAATGGTTGACTTGGGTGTAGTGACTTACACAGAAGGCAGTCTCCACTATAAATTCCTTGAGAGTAGCAATTGTCCCTTCACCTTTATATTCCCAGTGCCTACCATAGCTTTGGGCACATAGTACATTTATATAATAGTATATTTATGTACATTCAATAAGTATTTTCTGAGGACCTCAATGAATAATTTTGAATTTAAATTAAGTGCAAGAAATTTTTTAAAATACTATTTTCCTGTTGAAAAATGTGTCTTCTACATATTACTGTGAAATATTTCTGACTATCTATTTGTCCACAATAGGCATTGAAAGTTAGGCAAGCTGATATCACCAGAGAGACCGTTCAGAAAAGTGTCTGTGTTCTAAGCAAGCTGGTAAGAGACCAACTAATTCATTTATGTGTTTGTTACACATTTATGGCAGATTTTTATTTAGGAATAAAGCATTGAAGTAAGAGATTAATAAGACTAATAATTGTTAAACTTAGGAGCTTATTATTTATGCTCTTGCATTTCCTTTTCCTCTTTGCCTTTTGGTAGCTTTACTTTTTTGTACATTTTTCCAAGACTGGGTAAGAGGGAAGGGTTTCTGGTAGGTTGTTGAAGAGATTGCCCCTGGCTCAGATAGTTGGCTGGTTGACATGAGACCAAAACGAGGCATATGATACTTTTTTCTTTTTAAAAAATATATTTAGTACAGGGTATACAGGATCTACAGTGTCTCGCTACACAGATCAGATTCATAGTGATCCTCCTGTTTTCGGCCTCCCAGACTCTGGGATTACAGGTGCCCACCACCACACCCAGTCTCCATTGCCATCTCAGCATGCCTCTGGGTGCAGGGCCAGCCCAGCACACCAGGGATCACTCTGCCTAAGTAGGCGCTTTAGTCTGCTGAACTGTCTGGCCAGCCCTCACATGATGCTTTTTATGTGTCTATTTTTGTTTTGTTCCCAAGACTTTGGATAAATAATAGTTGAGATTTAAAATGTCACAATTACTCATATTTTATTGATAATAGAAAAAAATTCATGACTATTGTAGTGAAAAATTTTGGTCTTAACATTCTCTTTATATTTTAAAATGTTTGAGAAAAAAAATGATATGGTGAAATTGTACTGTAATAACACCTCAAAATTGTGTTTCTTCTAGGTACAAGTTGATGCAAAAGTGAAAAATTTTTTTTTTTAACAATATATCTTATTTATTTATTTATTTATTTGTGTGTGTGTGTGTGTGTGTGTGTGTGTGTGTGGCCAGCTCAGCCCACCAGGGGGCAGGGCTGGCTGGTATGTGGTGCTGGGGGATTGAACCGTGGTCCCTCTGATTTGCTAAGCTTGTTCTAAGTAGGTGCTTTAGACCACTGAGCCATCTCACCAGCCCCGTGAAAATATTTTTTAAAAGAAAATAAATGACATTTGATTTTCATAGTGCACTAATGTCAAATACCTAATTCTGCTTGTGAAATACAGTTAACAAAATCCCATTTGTAGGGAATAATCCTGTGTCATATTAGGTGTGTATAATTTCAATATTAGCCACTTCTCTAGTTAACTTAAATCAATATTTTTTAATCTATTCACTAAATGTAGACAGGTTTTAATTATTTCTTCAATACTTGCCCATTTTCCTATATCTACAGGCAATTTAAATGTGTATTGCATAATTGGATTTTGCAAAAGTTTTTGGTTTTCACCTTTATTACTAAGCTAAAAAAAGAAAGCATCATTGTAATTTAACACTATTAGCCTTCATAAGATTTTAAGAATCTTTTTTCTTCAAGATAATAAATAGGACAAGAATATATTTTCAGGGCCGGCCAAATAGCTCAGCAGATTAAAGTGCCTGCAAGCCAGTGCAGGGGCTAGGAGTTCAATCACCGGGCCTGCCATGCCAGCCCTGCCCCCAGGGTGTGCTGAGACAGCAATTCAAACTGGGCATGGTGGCACGCACCTGTTTACAGCCTCTCAACTCTTGGGAGGCTGTAAACAGGCGGATCACTACGAGTCCGATCTAGTAGTGAGACTCTGAACCCTTCCCTAAAATACACCCTGCGAACCCTTCCCTAAAATACAAAATATATAGATATATATTTTGTATATATATATATATTCCCACCCCCCGGGGGGCTTGCCAGTTAGCTCAGTTGTTTAAGTGCTGGCATGGGCAAACCCAGTCAGTCACAGGGGACCATGGTTCGATCCCCAGCTCCACATGCCACACCAGACCTGCCCTTAAGGCAACTTGAGCTAGCCAAAAAAAAAAAGAATACATTTTCCTAGAAAACATTCTTATAAAACACCCTGCTATCTGAAAATTAATAGATTCATAGGGCCGGGGAGATGGCTCAGTAGAATAAGCGCTTCCCTGGCAAGCGCAAGGGCCTGAGTTCAATCCCCAGTTCCGCAAAAAAAAAAAGATTCATAATCTGATTTCTATACAGTTTCCAGAAGGGTAATGTGAAAAATATACATCAGTAAATTACTGTTTTATGTTGGATCAGAGACAAAAGCCTGAGACTGTCAGATATGAAAGTAAAACACCTTGTGTCCCCAAGTAATCCTGTTTTGAAGGGCAATTATAATCCTAACAGAACCCAATTTTATGTCAGGTATTAATTCTATACTGGACACTTCTTTTTTGGTACTGAGAATTGAACTAGGACCTCACTAGACACTTTTTATTATTCTATAGTTGTCATTTTTATAACATTGAAATTTATTTACTATTCCCATTTTATAAAGGCATACCTAAGAGAATATCTAATACTTATCCACCTAGACCTAAATAATAAAATTGAGGTGAAATCTAATTTTATCTGTCTCTGAAACAGACATAGAGATGTAAAGAACTCACTCAGAAAGGCTGATTGTTCATAGTGCATTATAGCCTACATGTAAAAATATAATGGATTTACATTTAGAGGGCAGTAATACATTATTACCAGGAATACTGGGGAGAAAACTTCCAGTGTTACTTTTTTTTTTTAATGTATTTGATACAGGGTCTCACTACGTAGCTCAGACTCATAGTGATCCTCCAGTTTTCAGCCTCCCAGCACTAGGATTACAGGCATGTGCACCCAGTCTTGGTGGCTGGCTCAGCATGCCTGGGGGCGTGTGGTGCAGGGGAATCAAACCCTGGTCCCTGTGTTTGCCTAAGCAGGCGCTTAGTCTGCTGAGTTATTTTTATTTATTTATTTTTTAAGTGTTTTTATTTTATTTTTATTGTGTGTGTGTGTGTGTGTGTGTGTGTGTGGTCAGCTCAGCCCACCAGGGAGCGGGGCTGGCTGGCATGTGGTGCTGGGGGATTGAACCGCGGTCCCTGTGCTTTGCTAAGCTTGTTCTAAGTAGGTGCTTTAGACTACTGAGCCATCTCACCAGCCCCCAGTGTTACTTTTAAAAAACTAATTGTATGTAAGTCTAAAGAGGACATATAAATGAGAAAACATTAGAAAAGGTAAAAAGGTGGATATGGTAGAAGACTTTAAGTAGAAATAAGAATTACAGAAACTTTGTTCAAGAAGAGCATGTGGTTAGGGTATAGAGTAGTTCTGAGCCTTCACAGGGCTGAAAACAGGGAAATAAATTTAAGTATAAACATTGAGCTAGTTATAAGAACTGAACTGCTGTAAGAATTATTAAATGCTGCCACAGCCAACAGAACAATGTACAGAATGAGAATATATTATAAATCTTATAGCTAATTGTTAGTGCTTTCTGTGTGCCAGGTACTAAGTGCTTTCACTTGTTATTTAATCCTTAAGACAGTCCTATAAGATATGCTATCAGCTGGGCTATACACTTATAATCGTATCATTCAGGAGGCTAAGGCAGCAGGATCTCTAGATTGGGGCCAACCAGAGCTACATAGTGAGACTGCATCTCAAAAACAAAACAACAAAAAGACATAGTCTTGTCAGCAAGCGGATGTGGAGAGGTTGAATGCCCAGGGTTAGCAGCAGAGTGATGGATCAGGCCTAGGAGTCTTGAGTGTTGATATTGCCAGGGTACCAGATACCTCCCAACTTTAGCCCAGGAATGAAAGTAGGTGATGTCAGTTTCCATCCACAAGAAATGAGGCCCGAAAATTGGCAGTTACTCATCTTCTCTCCCTGTTCTCCTTTAAATTGAAAAGCTGTTTGTTGTTGTTACTATTATCAACCTAATGATAATTTCTCTTCCTTTAAGCCTCTCTATGGCTTACTTCAAGCAAAACTCGAGCTCATTACACATGCATATTTTGAAGAGAAGGACTTTTCTCAAATTTCCATTCTAAAGGTAACTTTATACTTTTTTATAGATTTATTTGGCTGAAGATAGATTACTGAATCAAGTAAATCTTGTAAGTCTGTGAAAGACAATCATTTATAAGCTAAAGAAAGACATTCTTAATGGATATGATGATGGACGACTATAACCCCAGCACTCTGGGAAGTTGAGGCAGGAAGACCGCAAGTTCAAGCCCAGCCTGGGCAACTTAGCCTTATCTCAAAAAAAAAAAAAAAAAAAAAGCTCTGATGTTATAGGATATAGTTCAGTATCAAAGCTCTAGTTTCAATCACCAAAAAGAAGGCCATTCTTTGAAAAATCCATTTACATTAAAACATTGAAGGACCATGACTGGCAGCATATTTCTGAATTTAACCAAGCCAGGCATGATGGTGCATGCCTGTAATCCCAGCACTCAGGAGGCTGAGGCAGGGGGATTGCTGTGAGTTTGAGGCCAGCATGGACTACATAGTGAATTCAATCTACATAGTGAGACCCAATCTCAGAAAACCAAAGTTAAAATAAATTTAATCAGACTATTTTAGGAAATAATGATTGTAAATAACTTAACCTAAGTATCTTTCTTTTCTTTTTCTTTTTGAGAGAGGCCTTGAACTCACTCTAGCCCAGACTGGTCTCAAACTTGCCACAATCATCCTGCCTCTGCCTCTTGAGTGCTGGGATTACTGGGATTACAGGCATATGTCACCATGCCTGACTCTTAAGTTTTTCTTAATAATAACCTTTTGACTATGGCATTGCTTCTGTGAATTTAGCTTACCAATAAGCTGCATAGTGGGTTTATTATATACAAGGCTCCTGGTTCCTAGTTTCCAATAACCTGAACCAGAGAAACCACAGTTATTTTCTTGAAGGTGGAGACATGTTTTTCTGAAGGCTGTATATACTCTGTACATATCATGAATCTCTCCTAGGTGCTGGTGAGACTAGGGTAGTTAGGAAGCCAGGAAATTTATCCTGGGAGTCCGTACCAACCTGTGAGGTGAGGAGGGAGGAAAGGAATCCCTAAGAAATGTCACATTGCCCAGCTCTCCTGGGCTTGTCTGGATACAGCTCATATCTGGAAGATAAGAAATGAATGCTTATCCTCCAGATATGAGCTGGAAAAAAAAAAGAAAAGAAAGATACTTATGTAAGTTATTTACAATCTTTATTTCCCAAAATAGTCTGGTTAAATTTATTTTTAACATTGGTTTTCTGAGATTGGGTCTCACTATATAGTTCAGCCTTATCTTAAAACTGGCCAAGTTTCAGAGAAACCTTAACTGTTCTTAAGTTTATTACCTGCAACATAAGCTGCCTCAAAACCATCTGTTTTCTGATCATCGTATTTCTAATTCAGTATCAAAAATGATCTAAGTTCAGTCTGTTTCATAGGAGCTTTATGAACATATGAATAGTTCCTTGGGAGGAACTTCGTTAGAAGGATCCCAAGTGTATCTTGGTAAGTAACTTTTGTACAACTCAGAGAAGCTGCCTTCGTTTCTGCTCAGCTAGGTTGCATGTAAAATGTCCTGATCAAAATTCCTATCTCTGCATGAGACAAACTTTTCAGTAGTCAATGCTGGTCCTGCTTTAAAGATCCTCTAGCTGTGTTTATACTGAGAAAGGTAATGGCATACTGGTTGCAACTTTCACTAATATTGTACAGGGTGAAGTTTTCAGAATTTTAATGGAAGTTTATTTCCTTTATTTTAATGCTGACTAGCTCAGTTCCGTATATAAGAGAGGGAAAAGAAAAGAAAACAGAAACTTCTCAGTTATATTCTAAGATTTTTCAAATTAGGAATTTTGTTAAATTTATACTATCTTGTCAACTCAGAATATCCTTTGGTGTCTAAGAACTCAGAATCCTCTTCCAAATAAAAACAAAATATTGTAGTCACACATTGATTTCTGCTTCCTCAATTTCTAGTCCAATATGAGGTCATAGTCCAATTTGAGGTACAAATGATGGTAGTTTATAATTGCAATCCTGTGTGTAATGCAAGCTACTTAGAGAGCATCTCTTCTGAGAGCACATTTTTCTCTGAATTATTTGCTCTTATATTTTAGTGTTTGAGGCAGATAACTGGGAAAGACTGTTTCCTAAATAATAGCAAATGGAATCCAGTGACCAAAACCATGCTCAAATGGTTGACTTCTAGAGTATGTATTTGTAGACTTGGGGAGGGTATTAGATTTGTAATGCCCCGACAGTGACTACTAGCTATGTAGAGTTGTCTGCATTTATATTGAAATTAATAGGGAGGGTGATGGGAGAATGGCAAGAATTGAGTTGTGTTATGTGTGTGTACCAGCTCCCAGTGATGAATAATCATTATGTACTGCAAACATGGGCTAATAAAATTTTTGACTGGGGATATAGGTCAGTGGCATAGCACCTGCCTGGCAAGTTGAGGTCCGGAGTTTGATTCTCAGTACAAACATTTTTTTAAAAAAAATAAAAAGGAAATAAATTAATAAAAATTAAATGCAATTTAAAATTAAAATTTGTGGGTCACACTTGGCCACATTTCAACTAGATAGGGCAGGTTTAAGCATTTGTACCCTTGCATAAGTTCTGTTGGACAGCAGTATTTCTGAGCACATGTATGTTTGATCAAATACTAAGTAAATAGGTTTGAGTATTTGCATATAATTTTTTCACATTCCTTTCCTAAGTTTGAAAAAAAAATAGACTATAGTCATAGATTAGCTTTTTTGTTCATATTGTAGGTCTGTCTCCTCGAGATCTTGTCCTTCATTTTCGACACAAGGTATGATACCTTAGCATTTATGCGAGATATTTTAGTACATCATATAGCTACACAACATTGTAGCTATCTAGCTTTTGTGTTCTTCTAGGCACCAGCTTCACCAGCTCTTCTCATGATGTCACCAGTGGCATAAAGCAAAATTACTGCTAGGCTTGCAGTATTACTTATATCTGTGCTTTCATCCAGGCACACAGAGTAACAAGCTGCCCTTTGTAAGTCAGTGGTGAGCTGCTGACTAACATCACTTGTGATTCTCAGGACTCAATCTTTAATAGTATTTCTGCTAAGTGGAATCTCAGAGATGCTTTGTGTAATTTTATCCTGTCTAAGAAGTCATGAAGAGAGGAAACTTCCAGACAGCATGGCCATTGTGATAAAATCCCCATTGGGGAAGGGCTTACATGTTTTGCTCTGCACGGTGAACTTTAAAAACTGTCAGCAGTCAGTGACTTGTTTTAGAAAGATATTTGCAAAAACTAAGATAATGGGAATGATATTTCCTCAGTTTCTTCAAGTTTCCCTTCTCAGTTTCACTAAGTTGGGCAATCCACTATCTGTTTTCAATTTTGCTTTTTTTGTTATAGTCATTTCTTGGTGTTCAAGATTTGGAGTCTACAAAAATGCAAATTATTTTTAAAATGGAAGTACCCAATACAAATCTATCCCTATACCAAAAATAGCCAACACTGTTAGCAGTAAAGAATTGGATATTCCCTGAATCGAAAATCTATGGCAGTCGGGCATGGTGGCCCACACTTATAATCCCAGCACTCAGGAGGCTGAGATAGGAAGATCATTGTGAGTTTGAGACCAGCTTAAGCCCAGCCTGAGCTGCATAGTGAGACCCTGTCTCAAAAAGTCCAAAAAAAACCCCAAAATCTATGGCAATGATTCTCAACTGGGTTTCCTCTTAAATTTGCTCACCACCAGCTTTTAGCCTGCTCTCAAGATGGCATCTGAGTGTTTTCCTGCTTTGTGGGAAGCTTCTACTAAAATCACAGCTAGTCCAGGCAAATATAAATATAAAAATAAAGTTCTTATTTTCATAAATTCTTCACAGACAGCTAAATATGATAATGCAGATTCAAAAATGCCAGGGGACAGCACAAAATTAAGAGTCAGTCTCTTAATTACAACATCTTGCTAAATCATAGATATTAAATTTCAGTTTTTCATAAGAAAATAGCTAAAATCTTGCTATTAAAAATGAACTTAAAATTCACAGCCAGGGGCCGGGGAGATAGCTCAGTAGAATAAGCATTTGCCTGGCAAGCGTAGGGTCCTGAGTTCTATCCCTGGTACCACAAAAAAAAAAAAAAAAAAAAAATTTACAGCCAGTGCAAAGAAATACATATTTTTGGCAGCACACTGAGCATCCATAAAAAAGCTCAGGTGCGTTGGAGCTAGTGAGTTGCAGCTCATGACACCATTGCCCCTGTGTGTGCTGTTAGCAGATGCTTGAATGCTGGGGGGTGGGGGGGGGCTTAGCCCACTGCAGCGTGTGTGCTGTAGGTTCAGCACTACTGTACAAGACATTTATTGAATACCTGCCATGTGTATGTACTGAGCATCCAGAAGTAAGTAAATCCTGCCCTTTATTTCAAGCAAAATTGGCACTGTGCTCCAAAAAAGATAATTTCAATTTGAGATTTAATTGACTCATTAAATTTTTAGAGAACACAAGTAACATTTAATTTCTTGGTATAATTCATTTCTTCTGTTTTTTAAATGCTGCAATTTGACTGTTCATTATATGATAAAACAATTTTGTTTGAGGATGGGAAATAGCAAATAATAGACTTGAGTTTCTCATTTTAATACAGGGTTTTGTCTTTTTGTAGGTCTTAATTCTGTTTAAATTAATTCTTCTGGAAAAAAAGGTGAGACAGGGGTAGAAGGAATGTATTACATGAAATGAGAACTAATATTAAAATATTAAGGTGTTGGGGCTGGGGAGATGGCTCAGTGGAATAAGTGCTTCTCTGGCAAGCGCAAGGGCCTGAGTTCAATCCCTGGTTCCGCTAAAAAAAATATATATATGTATATATAATATCTGTATCTATATATAGGTAGATAGATAGATATAGATATTATATATGTATATGTTAAGGTGTTTCTTGCCTATCAAATTGTGTGAGCTGAAACACTTCATCAACTTAGAAATATAAAGCTGCATGTTTATAGTGTGATAGTACATTTTGTTATCAGGATAATCTTCATAGTAGGCAACAGATAACCCAATTTAAAATGAATTTCAATAAAAAGGAAATGTTTGAGGTTGGTTTAGTCAGTGGTTTGAGAGTCTCGCTGAGTATTCAGTTTTTCCATCTTGTACAGTACACATTGTTGGCTCTATCCAGAGCCTGGTTTCACTTGTAGTGGAGGAAAGGCCAGTAGTAATTAGGCTTTTTACTTCCTCAGTCTTAACTGGTGACAGAGATAATACCTCTTTCCAAATCATTTAATATCAGTTCTTCCCTTTGGATCTATCAGTTAACCCTGAATTGTTAATTGCTGTCAGATCTGCCTTTACTGATTGGGTTAAACTTGGATTCTGTCTTACTCTGTAGTTGGGTTGGGATTTACCATGATTAGTATAGACTGCAGGCTAGGCCTCCTAGCCAAATTGGTCTGCTGCTTATTTCTGTAAATGAAGTATTATTGGGAAATAGTCACATGCATTCCTTTATTCTTGATTGTTTTCACTCTATAGTAGCAGTGTTGAGAATTTGTAAAAGAGACCCTGTGGTCTGCGAAGCAAAATACTTAACTCATCCTTTATTGAAAAATTTTGCTGACCTTTGGTTTTTTTTTTTTTTTTTTTTTTTTTTTTGACCTTTGGTTTAGACTACTAAGGAACCACTGTGTATACAAGACCAGTTTTGGGGCTGGGGATTTGGCTCAGTGGTAGAATGCTTGCCTAGCAAGCTGAAAGCCCTGAGTTTGGTCCTCAGCACCAAAAACAAAAAAATAAACCTCCCCTACAAGACCAGTTTTATATGCCATATTACTATGTTCAGGGGAGTAGAAATAGTAAAGATGTTAGGCAATGTACCGTGTCCACTGTGGTTCATTATCTTAAAAATATTCCTTTAACCCAACAATTTTCCCTTTAGGGAATTCTTTTCCAGAATTAGTCTGAGTTGGACACAAAACTCTGTCTCATAAAGAAGTTGGGCATGGTGGCCCACCTGTGAGGCAGGAAGATTGCCTTGAGTTCAAGGCCAGCCTGGGCTACATAGTGAGTTCAAGACCAGCCCGAGCAGGCTGGGATTATAGTTCAAGAGCACAGTACCTGCCCGACAAGTGTGAAGTCCTGAGTTTGATTCCTGGTACCAAAAAAAAAAAGACCACCCTGAACTACATAGCAAGACCCTGTCTCAAAAAAGAAGTCCTTCACAGAATCACTTTTAATAATACATTATATGTTAATAGCTCACTGATTGTTTAGCTTATATGTTGTGTGTAATTCCAAGTAAAAAAGATATTTAGGTAGCCTACCAGCCTATTAGAATAAATAAAAGGAATAGATAAAAGATTGTTTTCTTCCTGTTATTATTATTATTAGAAAGATTACAGAACTATGAGTTCTCAGCTGTGTTTGTTAGAGCTAAAAGTCTGAAGCTGGCTCTTGTTTTCAGTCTGGGATCCAGCCAGGGATCATGTATTGCATTGCTAGCCCCCATTAACTGCAACACTTTAACCACCTCCCACTCTTTCTTCTTGTTTGTTCATTTCTTTTTGTACTTCACAACATTGGCCCTTTTTATCCTCACGCATGTGTGCATGCATGAGTGTGCCTGTGTTGCTGGGGATAAACCCAGAGCCTTTGCAATGGAGCTATATCCCCAAACCCATTTTTATTTTTTATTTTGAAACTGTCCCTAAGATGGCAATGCTAAGCCTGACCATGTGGTATTCCTGCTTCAGTCTCCCAGAGTGCTAGGATTATAAGTGTACACCATCATACTCAGCTGACATTGATTTTAAAGGATCCATAAGAGCATTACAGGACTAGAACTGTATGGTTGTTTTCTTTTTTTTTTTTGGTGGAACCGGGGATTGAAC